TATATATATATATATATATAATAAGTCCACAGATTTATGATAAGCTATGAAATCCTTATAATCAAGTGATGATAAACTTACTCTTTGTAAATTAGTAACGTTAGTGAAATTAAAGAGAGATGCTTTAGCTCCATCCCTAATCCTGACAGTCTGGCATTGTCTTGTCAAAGTGCTCACTGTACATATTGTGCTCATAACACAATTTACTTTATGATATAAACTACAATATAAAAGTTAAAACTTAAGAATTCATTTAAACTTTGATTTCCTATAAAGTCTCAGCTTTCACAGCTTACTAGGGATATCGCTAGCTATTAATAGTCTGACACTGGTGGCTAATTAAGCTGTCAACATAAAGCTAAAAATGACCAAAAACATACAGAAGCAACTGTTCAGTCTTACCTGTGAAAGATAATACCCCGAAGTATGTTTTTATTATTGTGCGACGGTTTGTAGATGCCCAAGCTGCCGACGAGTCAGATATGTTTTCGCAGGTCCCGATATGAGAGTTGCCCGCACCAATATGGCGACGACGTTGACGTGCGGTCGAGCGGCCAATGAGGAGTCTAGGTATTTATTACGTCTATGCTCGAAACGACCTGAATTGTTCGTTCACGATTTGGACTGAATCAATCTGTGCGGATCTCGAGTCACCAGTTCACTGAACTGAGAACCGTCTCTGCGATGACTCATATCGAGCAATATAAAAAGCGAGTACAACAGTATATAATAGATTTATAATACAATAAATAGATGAATAATAGCAAGTAGAATATGTAATATCAAGGGTGGAATAATACAGAATAGACAATAATGAAGAATAAATTAATAGTAAATTCTAAAGTAAAATAAATAATCATGAAATGTAGTTTCATAATAGTATTGTGTAATAATTATTAAACAAAGTAAGACAGAGTAAGAAACAAGTAAGGGGGGGAGAGAGAGTGTGTGGTTAGAATAGGACCAGGGTAATTCTGGCCATTCATTCAGGGCTATTCTGGGTTTTAACTAGTACTAATACAACATTAGGCTGTGGAAGTAGAGCCTACTCTCTTGGAAATGCAGAGAGCAGGCTTTCTGGATATCGCTAGCTATTAATAGTCTGACACTGGTGGCTAATTAAGCTGTCAACATAAAGCTAAAAATGACCAAAAACATACAGAAGCAACTGTTCAGTCTTACCTGTGAAAGATAATACCCCGAAGTATGTTTTTATTATTGTGCGACGGTTTGTAGATGCCCAAGCTGCCGACGAGTCAGATATGTTTTCGCAGGTCCCGATATGAGAGTTGCCCGCACCAATATGGCGACGACGTTGACGTGCGGTCGAGCGGCCAATGAGGAGTCTAGGTATTTATTACGTCTATGCTCGAAACGACCTGAATTGTTCGTTCACGATTTGGACTGAATCAATCTGTGCGGATCTCGAGTCACCAGTTCACTGAACTGAGAACCGTCTCTGCGATGACTCATAACGAGCCAAAATGCAGAAATGTTACAAACAGAATCTACTGGAAATATGTTTATGATTTGACTGAGTTTCATCAACCCATAGAAATTAGAGTATTAATATCGATGATGAATTTTCCGTAATGTAAATACAAATTATATTTAGGTTCTATACGACTTCATGAGCCGAAGCTTGGCTACAAGAACTAAAAGGGAAACATGAAATACCATTAGTTAAAAAATGTAATAGAAAAACACAATAAACAGCAAGATGTTCATGTATGTTCGTTTAGAACAGGTAATATGCCACGCAAGGATGTCAGGGACCGTGTCAAAATGTATTTACGTGCTGAGATAAAATAATAACTGAATCAGTTGTTTGAACCGGTTCTTGAATTGAACCATTCGAAAGAACCGATTCGCGGAAATTAATCAGGCTTCTGTAGCTGTCACGTGATCTCCCATACGTTCTCGAATGCATCACCTGATGAGGGTATGCCTCTTCATTTCCAGCTAAAGTGTTGTTTAACGTCGCAATTTATGATTTTAACTAACTTTTTTGTAGCTAAAGCACTTTTTGCAGATTTGTCTTGCAAATTTTTTCCCTCTCTCCAAACCCTGATTTTATAAAGGCGGGATTTTCCCCAAAGACATGTCAACCAACCCGACACCCATAGCGCAAAATGAGTGACAGGCAGAAAGCGTCCTCTGATTGGCCAGTTTAATACGTGGGCCAAGCCCCTTACTCCCTTTGCTGTTCACAGAATCTAGAGCTGGGAACGTGATTCAATTATTAAACGTAATTTAAAAAAACAGGCTACAGTGGCTCAAAAATTATTACAAACCACAAATAAAAAGTGGCATCCGCAAGCAAATTATGCTAAAGCTTTTCTCCAAACTACCTTGAATCTTTTAAGTAAACGAGGTCAGTTTCCGTTGTGTTCACATAGATGCTTAACTTTAAGCACAGTCCACCAAAATTCAACAACCAGAAAATGTCACAATACGAACAGTGCCAGTGCATTAATTTAAAACCAACAAACAACAGAGAAAAGGAAATCAAGAAAAAGACACAAATGTTCTCATCCAGAATTTTATAAATTCCCCCCCCCCCAAAAAAAACTGCGTATTTGGCATCTATGTCATGAAACTCAACATAAAAAAGAAAACAAAATACAATAAAATGATCCCATCCTTGACATCAATCAGGGTGCGTCATGCCACAAATTGGCCTTTTATATAAACAAAGGAACATCTTAATATGTGCATGTTAGTCCTTCTAAATAATCCAAAACCTACTGTACATCATTATTCATTACACTAAATCCTCAGTACGTCCGTATGGTTAATACTCAGATTCCACCAGTAGGGGGCAAACTGGGGCAACAAATCTGCAGCTCTTAAGAACAGATAATGAGCAGAAAACACACGAAGGCTCCTTTTCTTGAAAATCGTTTCAAAAGGAGAGAAAAGAAACCACAGGCACAACATCACAATACAAAATGTTATGGATTACTTGTACCGTGTATGTGTATTGTGAACTCCTCCAGCAGTTCAATTGGTATTTCAACAGAACTTTTGCCATTTGGGGTAAATTTCAAATGAATTCAGGTAAACTAATTTCATGATCTCTCACGGTCTCAAACAAGTTGGCATCCTTTTAGAAAATGAACTAAACAAAATGATCAAAAGACCACATGTGCAGGTGGGGTAGAGTTTAAAAACATCCATTCAAACATGAACATCTCTATAAACACTGTTTGCTGGAGAGAAAGAGAGAAAAAAAACTATTTATATTCTATGCTGTGCTATAACCCCAAGAGCCTTTTTAGCAAACAATTTCAAGCATGAAATCTACAACAAACTATTAAGCTCATGTGGTTAATGTGAAATGTCAAAAGCAAGAATGACATTTTTTCAACGAGTTTTTTTCGTAAGGCAGTCAATCTCTATTCAGACTGAGTTCATAGAAGACTTCTGTGTTCACCACTGGAGTGAACAATCTCCAAAGAGTTCAAAATTCACTCATATTTCTGAAGAAAAGCAGGATATGGCTGTCTGGAGAGCATCTTCTGCAGGCGTCTGGAGTGCAAGGACTCGTCCCACTGGTGACAGTGGACAGTAACACATTGGATTTTAATCATGAAATCACTTTGTAATCTTAAGGCTGAACGTTTTACAGAAATCACAGTGCACTACACAAACACAGCACAGTGCGAATCGCAAGCATGACACCCATAATCTGCAGAAAACGAGATCCAAAATGTGATACCGATGCAGTGACAGGTAATATGTGTGAAACAGTGACAACTGTTGAACATCCTGGTTTTAGTTCGACTTCGAGCCTTAAAATCTTCAACATAGAAAATTACCAAAAGCTCTATGAACAGACCATGTCATCAAACTCTGAAGCTCTCTCCTTTGCCATCAATGTGCCGGAGACGCAGGTAGACGTCTGTGCCAATGCCCTGCATCGACTGGATGGCCAAGGAACCTCCCAAATATTCGGCGTACGCCCGAGATGTAGGCAGGCCAAAGCCAAACCTGGAGGAGAAAACAAGTGGCATCACTGAGATGTTCTTCAATCCCATTACAGATCACCACAGCGCATCCTAATTTATCCAAATCCTCAAATGAACCTTAAACTGTGCCAAATAACTTAAACTAAACTAGTCTAAGCAGAAAAACAAATTCTTTTAAAGGGGTCATATAATGCGATTTCAATTTTTCCTTTCTCTTTGGAGTGTTACAAGCTCTTGGTGCATAAAGAAGATCTGTAAAGTTGCAAAGACTAAAGTCTCAAATCCAAAGAGATATTCTTTATAAAAGTTAAGAGTCAGCCACACCTACCTAAAACGGCTCGTTCTAACATGCCCCCCACATGTCTACGTCACGATGTGGGAAGATTTGCATAACTGCCCAAATGTTCACACAAAGAAAGAAGGCGTAACTTTTATTCTCGCTGTAGTATTGTTGTTGCCGCCGCCATGTCGTGAAGGCGCTGTGTGCTTCGTTGTGAAAGCAAAACTACTTTGTTTGGCCTTCCAAAAGAGGACGATATCTGCTTCGTCATGCCTGGAGCT